GCAGGAATGACCAATTCTCTCTACTTTTCACAAGAAACCAAAAGATCAATTACTCGGCAGACCGAAATAAGGGATTTCCAGTAAACCAGTGACACCAAGGGCAATATATATATTTATTTTTTTGTGTGGGAACTAGTAGCTTCTCAGCAATGCTGTATGATCAAAAACTATTTTAGTGACATTCAGGTGTGACAAACTCTGGTGATTCTGAGTGTTCAAGTGCTTGCCTTCCCACTGAAACTTGCAGTCCAGAGCTTTGCAGGCTGCCTTCAGAGATTCTATGAAAAATAAGGTATCTTCAGCATTGAAAAGGGCTACTTATGCCAGTCACATGCTGTTGTAGCTAGGATATGCTGAAAAATTACACTGTCATGCTTGATAGTTCACAGGCAGACAGGCAGAAGCAACTACATCTTTGTTTTCAGACAGATTTACATCCTATGAATATGATTCAAATAATTCCACATATGAAAAACTCCCATGAACTTACAGATGGCAACAAATAGGAGATACTATATCGCCTTTTGTGTCTCACATCTTTTATTTACAATTAACATATGTGGATTTTATCAGCTGAGCAAATTCCACCCTTTTCACACTCTTCCTTTTCTACTTCCAGTTCTCCAGAGAAGTGTGCTCAAAGTACAGAGACCACAGTTGGAATAATTTTGATAGCAAAAAGAAATGTTACTGCTTTCATGGAGATGTGAATTTTTAAAACATGCATTGATTGTGAATGTACTAACGTACCTGCTTTTGATGCTATGCAAATTTTAGAATGGGACAACCACTGAATAGGAAAGGCATGCTAACACAAAGCCTGCAGCCACTTGTTGCATTAGACTGGGATGGAAGGAATTCTGTTGCAAATAATATTAAAAAGCCACTTGGAGGAATTGGGAAAACAAGAACATGAAATCTAATTTTGTTCTTCCTAGGACTAGGCCTGCTGCAGTCCTTACACACTGTCCATTTCTCATCCAATGGTATACGACAGATTGATCTGAATGATTTTCAGAACTGTTCACAGCTGAAGGATATCAACTTGCAAAACAACAAGATAACTGAAATTCATCCAGAAGCCTTCAGGGATCTCAACAAATTACAGGTTGTAAAGCAACATTACAACTGTTTCCATGTTTTGTGTTAATCACCATTAAAGATATTATCAGCTATACGTGACCATGATTATATTGGTCTTTGATTATTGTATTAGTATACATTTATAAAAACTAAAGCAAATGGTGAAAATAATAATTCTTTTTATATGTTTTTCATATATATAGAAAACAGACACTGCTAAACATTCAAAATCCAACTACAAATTTGGCATTTATCTGTGGCAAAAATCAATCCAAAACTGGCTTAAACACACATATATCCTTTTCTACCCCCATCCCTTCTATGGCGAGAGCCCTGGGGCTTTCCATTCACACAGAGGTAGCCTACAATGGGAAAATTCTAAATATACCACAATTTGAACTTTTCATTTAAATTAAAAAGCTTAGAACAGTATTATTGAAATCCTAACCAGATGTATTCTTCCCATAACTGCACAAGTGCTTGAATACCAAAATACATGTTGATACTGCAATTAGGATTCTGTAGCAAGGCTTATCAAATTATGTCTGAATTTTTTCCAAATAGGTTGTGAATCTCCATGGAAATGCTCTAACAACCCCTTTACCACAGATATTTATCAGCCTGAACTTCTTTCAACTTGAAGTGGGCTTGTCAAATAATGCCTGGATATTTAACTGCAGACTAAATACTTTCAAACATTTACTTCATTTTCTTTTTGACTCCACGAGGCAAACATGGAGCATTTCATACAATCAATCTGCCAACAATTCACAGAAACCTCTCCTGTATCTTTCAAGTTTTAATTTAAACTGCAGCAACAGAGTTTTGCTCAGGACTGCTGTAATCCCAGCAGAGAAGACGTCAGTGCTAGAGTGTGACTTGGACAACACAAGAGGTATGTGAAGCAGGGACTCTATCCATACATTGCTAAAATTCAAATGCATGCAGAATGATCACAGAAATCTGGTTTTAAAATAGTTGAACAACAATTTCACATGCAAATTATTCCATTAGAAAGTAGTGTACTAGTAGTATAAGTAATATATTTGAAAGTCATGTTTCTCCAAAAATGTCTTAATCTCCTTCCTTACATTAAACTAGTAAGTGAACCAGATTTTACAGAAATCAACTTCAAATAGTAGTATATTGCAAATTTATCAGCTAATTTTGGTACGTAAACAAAGGACTAAATAGTGAGGTGGCACTTTTTGGGTATGTAGAAAACTGAGAAGGATGTAACAGTGTCTCTAGTGTTCAAGTTACAGCAAAAGAAAAGTAATGTTTATTTGCAAGGGAAAGGATTAGTATTACTTATAAAAAGTACAGCTAGTAGCACACGGTTCACTTAGGAAATTAATTCCGCATTTACAATTAATAAAGAGCACCTGCAGTACAAGTGACAAACTTCACAGAGCTAAGACTTCCCATGCAGAAGGAAAACTAAGACCAAGCTTAGAGCAGGTGGATTTGTCATGTGCCATATGGCAAAACAGTTCAATGGACTAATAGCACTTTCGGGTGGTAAGGCTTTCCGCTTGGAATGCTATATCCCCAAATGAAAATACGTAGGGTTTATCAGAAATACCATCTACTTTATGAACAAGGAAAGTCACAGCAACTCTGATGGAGTTCAAATCAACGCATTAGATTGCGGCGAAACTCAGCGGGAAATGCAAGCAGACCCAAAGGCACAGGTGTACATACAACCTTGAAACATTCCAGAAGCCAACAACCAGCCATAGCCTACACCATGGTGCCATGTAAAATGAGTATGGATGAATAAAAATGTCTCTTACAGGTAAAATTACTCAAGATAGGTGAGAATATGTCCTTAAAGTAATAACTTAACCCTGCAAACCAAGTATCCTACACTTTTAAGATAGATTTAACTTGTATTTTATTTCAGGTAATCAAGTCTCTTGGTGGACACCTAGGGGCAAAATTTCAAAAGGTAACAGTCTTCATCATATGACACTGGATAAAATGAATAATTTAGTGATACACAATGCCAAGAAAACTGCTGAAGGATTATACATGTGTATTTTTAATACAACAAAAAAGAAATATCTCATCTACAATATAGAGGTGAAAGAAAAGGTTTCGACAATTTTGGTTCGAAAAGCCCGGGACACTAATGCTGTTCTTAGACAAGGAAGAACAGAGCAAGACTTTGCACTGGCTGTCTGCCTCGCGGTGCTCATTACGTTTGCTTGTGCTTTTTGTCTGGGTGCTTTTGCTAGACCCTACCTTGAGAGCCTGTGGAGACTCATGTGCAGGAAGAAAAATTCAGGTTCAGAACATATTTACTCTAATCAAGCTTTTTCATACGAAACCTCGAGCAGAGAGTGCTCTGCAAGCAAACCAACACATATGCAGCATGATTTGTTCATTTCTGATGGGAATTCTACAAGAAACACATATGTTTTGCCTACAGAAACTTCTACTTTGTATGAAAATGTTATTGGTAACTGTGTACCTGCATCAAATACTGAAGAATACCAGAAACAAAGCAATAATGAGATCAATGTGGAGAAAACCCCAGCATTTTCAGATATCAAAACTAGTATCAGCAGTGATGAAGATGTAAACTTTACTGATAATGGACTACTTTCTGTAAGGGTAGATAATAAGAACAGCAACGAAGTAATGCCAAGAAAATTATCAAGTAATGACATTGCATTACAGAAAGGTTCAAAATTTACAAATAACGAAGACTCAGAGAAGAGCAGATTCCCTCCCATAGCCAAGAGACTGAATGCTGACTATTGCACAAATCGAACTGTCTCTTCATATTCAGATTTATCCTTCATGGGAGAAACTGGCTTTCCATTTTCCACAATACCAACACGTACAGTTGCAGAAGATTCTAGGAATAGCAAGGTCAGGAACAACTCTGGTCTGCTGCAGTCTGAAATCATAAAGGCTGCACCAGATTCTTCTGAAAGAAAAGGTGTAATTTCATATAACAAACCCATGAGCACTACAAAACTTATGCTTGGAAGGCAAAGCTGTGATGAACAACCTGGTTTAAATGGCAACATAAATATAACCAGTGATGTGAGAGATGTTATTTTACCCAGTAGCTGCAAGAGAAACACAAATATTGAGAATTTAAGTGTCTACCAAACAATAGAAAACTCTTCTCTTACAGAGTATGACTGTAAAACTGAACATACAAATGAAAGAGATACTTCAGCAGATATATTTGACGATAGTTCTTCAGATGAAGGGACTCCATTCACATTGAGTGACTGTAGTTCTTTAGCAGACTTTGAACTGGAAGAACCTGATGTTAGTGACAGCCTGCCAGTCTGTCAGTCACCACCAGAGGAAGTCGATACAAACAGTGGAACTGAGAAGTTCTCAACACCACCAGAGTCTCCAAACATTGCTACTGAGCTTCAGCATATTGGAAAAAATGAAGACAAGAAAAACACTATTAATTATGGGTCAGATACCAGCATGCCTGAAATAGTATCACCTTACATTGATAAATGTAGTGATCACATAAGTACATCAGATTCAGACACAGATAGTTCTTCAAGTCAAGAAGTTCCTCATACACTTGGTTATTTGACTAAAGAAGAGTCAACAGGACAAAACTCTATTTCTAGCTCCCTCCACAATCAAAGTACAGACTTCAGTAACATGCTACTTTCATTAAAAGATTCTCCCACATATGATACAGATAGAGAGAACACTCTTGAAGAGGCTAAATTGCAGCTTTATCAGTGGAACCACACTGAACCTCAGCATCCCCTCAACTTCAGTCCCACTGAACAAGAAGGAAACAGACCAGAGAGAATTACAGATGACCACATGGAAAGGAACTCTGAAAAGAACAATAGTGAAGGAGACATTACATTAAGAAGAAATACAAGTACATCTGAGGACAATGATTTTATTTTTGCTCCCATTGATACTGCTTTGAATGAAATTGTGAAGAAAACATTGCTACTGCGTTCCAGTGATGAATCATCTCTTCAGTCACTGCCTGAACAGACAGCTGAAAAACATTTTAGAGCTACTTCAGAGAAAGATGACTTGCTACCAGAGGGGAAGCAGGTGAATGCAATTAAGACTTGTGCAGATAAAATGCCAAGAGGTTTTAATGAGAAAAACTGTGATGGATACATGGAATTAGAGGACACCAGCAACTCTAGTCTGCCTGAAGAAACACAGTCTTGCAATCTCATGGCAGATTTGTTGCATCTTCACTCTTCTGAGAAAACACAATCAGTTTCCAACACAGATCATTTACAGCTGGATCAGAGTGACAAAGATGCATATTCCTTCTCAGTGCCACAAGGCTTCCATGAGAACACACCATACAGTTCATTCTTAGAAAAGACTACAGGAAATAAAATTTCCAAAAGCACCAATTCCAGAAAGATGGAAGATGACACTACTTGGACTGGACTAGAGAACCATTCCACCACAGCAGCCAGCCTCCAAAATTCAAGTGAAAAACTCAGTCAAAAGGGTCAGACCAATGTAGGACAGGGACAGTTTTTTGTTAAGAAGAAAAGAGCATTTGATGGATTTGCTCATGTTTTACAAAGCAGGAAAACAGACTTCAGTAGTTGAGACACAAAAGTATAATATTAGGCTCCCACGGTGTTTATATCATATAGTAACTGCAGAAAATTATTGCGTAGCTTTTAATAACTATTAAATACTATTGGTTGCTTTTGCTGCCCCTCACCCCAGGACACTGCCTGTAGCTTCAGAAACCCAAGTTATGGAACTAGACTTCACAATGAGATGTATAAAGCCTGGATCTATCAAATATAAAAACACAGTCATTCCAAAAGGTATTTCAGGCCAGAAGCCATGGACTTCTGTTTAGAAGGGTACTTGTATAAAAACAAAACAAAACAACAAAAAACCAAAAACACCAACAAAAAACCAAACAAACAAACACCAAGAATAGATTTTGTTAAAAACAACTCTGGGATATTCGAATGAGTAAACTATTCCGTAGTTGTAACAGCCAATAAAGCTTTTACTGAGTTATATTTACTTTAGCACCAAGATACTAATTTCCCTTAGAATTTGTCTCTGATGTGCACCGTTTTGTTTCTTTGTCTAAAATAAATGTAACACTGAAATTATCATTACATTAGTACTATTATTGTGTTTTCCTGTGGGACTCACTCTATACAGTGAATTAGTACAGTCTTCTACTTCCTGAACCAAACATGTAGACTCTGAATTCCCAGTTTTACAAAGATAGGTAAAGTCCAAGCACCATTCAATTACATTTTAAAAAATACTTTTTAACTTGGAAAGACAGAGTAATGAAACCATTCTCTCTCTACTAAGCTATAATTCCCTATAAAAAAGGGTCCTATATCCACTTCTTAATTTTACTGAGGGGAAAATCAAGAACAGCTCAAAACTGCTGTGTTAGAATATCAATAGCTTGATGTACAGTAACTTCTTCTAAGCCAAAATGTAACAAATTGTTAGGATTTAACACTGGGCTGGGAATGAAACAACTGACAGAAAATAAAATTTTCTCTGAATGTGGCCCAAGGCCTTGTTCACATACACAGTATTGCTGATGTAGTCCTTGAAGGAGAATGTCATCATGGGGGGGGAAACAGGCACAGGTTTCCAGAAAATGCAGGAGGCTGCCCAGCAACTCTGGGAAAACTCTTGTTACGAAGACAATTAAGTCACTAAAAACTCGAAAGAGAAGGAAGACATTTCAGTTCCACCAGATGAGAAGCAAGTCCAATGGCACAGTACATCTCTGAAGCTATCTTTAACAAGTAAGCCAGAAAAGAACAAAAAGATGCTGACAGAATCTCATAATTTTTGCTAGCTTTATGTACCTGGAACTTAAATAGAGAGTACTGCAAAAAACTTAAGAGGCAAGGAAAAGCGGTTGAAGGAAACCAGTACTGATATTATTTGACCTTTTGAAAAGTATTTTCTTAAACACCTTAAGTTTCTTTTAAATAATTGTTTTACACACCTAGCCTCACAATTCAAACTCCTATTGGTTAGCTGGAGGCAGGGGAGAGCTGGATGTTTCTGGCTGGTTTTATAAAAACTTATAACATAACTGAGAATAGATTATTTGGTAGTTTCAGGTTGGTGTTGCATGGATTTGATTTAGGTCACCATAGTATTTGCAAATAACTGCACTCAATAACATCTGTAATTCAATGACAAGCAATGAATTTGTTGTCATTCATACAGATCTTTTTGATTTCCAATTAGTTCTTGGACAATTTCTGTTCTTTTTGCTTCAGTACTCAGTGATATCTAAACTGGTTAACTAAGAAGATTCCTAAGAGCAGGTACTGGCTTCATTCCTTCAGTAGGAGTCCACTGAGGAACTAAGAATGAAATAAGCTTCTGAAGAAACTGATAATTTGTAATCATACTATTCAAAAGTTTAAGAGTCTGACTTTGTTGTTTTTCAAACATAGGAAAAAGTGTGACATATTAAACTGTCCAGAATTGTTCACGTGTTCCGAGTCGGTAAGAACTAACTGACAAAACACTTGAATCTGCAAAAATCGCAGCATTCCCAGAAATGTTAAAAATACAGTAACTCTAAAACACAGTACATTCCCCAATATAACTCATTCCTTGATTATATAAATGTCTGTAAATGTTACACCCTGTTCTACTGCTATTCTCTCCTAATCCCCACAGTGTCAATTCTCATGTAATGCCTTGGCTTCCATTGAATTTAAGGCTGCTGTTCTCAGCATTCTGCGACACAAAAAACAACTGCTTTTTTAGCAGCTGTCTAGAAGAACCAGGTAATTCTAGTGTGATTCCTCACAAAAACAGCTACATAGCCACTAGGAGCAGAAAACAAAACAGTACTCCCTCACCACTACTTTTCTTAGCACTTATAACTAGCTTCCTGTAAAGCTCATTATACACAGAAGTTACCTGTGGCTTAAACAACCTTATAAATGGAACACAAAAACTGCAGCCTTGCTCTTTATTGTATGAATGAATCTTCAAATACTGTGTTGACAGAGCTCTACTAGGCGTGTCACATTTGGCTGTACCAGCTAACAAGAAATCTTAACTACACAAGCAAGCCCATGTCATGGACTATGGGGAAAAAAATGTATTTGGTTCTACGGGTGTCTCATACAGAGCAATGTTTTGTCATTTGCTTCTGCTACAGTTCAGCAGTTCCAATATACATTGGAAAATTTTCTCATATTTTTTCTGACTGTAGGAATGCTGCAGTGGTGATGCAGACACTCCACTGCTTGTGAGAAGCTGCGAGTTTTCTAAGGCTCCCTTTATGCTGTCAAGTTACAGAAAAAGATTATCTGCTGTTCTCATTAGGGAAAATAAATTTGCTCCTTCCTCAAGGGATTTTTAATATGTGAAGTATTTCATTGTACTGTTAGTGTAATTTTGATGTTGTCTCCAAGTTACCTTAAGATTTCTGCCTAATATTGCACCTTTCCTTTGCTATTGAGCAAACCCAAACAATCAGCTGCTTCTCTTTCATATTAGTTCCTCACTTAATTAACAATTGCTCATAAAGTTAATACAAACATTTTCTATTTCCTGTGGCTTCCAAATAGTACTCTGCATATTCTGCTCCTCTCTATCCACTCTATTTCTCCATGCCCCTCTCAATACAATCTAAAGTCCCCCAAAGTCTACACAGTCCCCCGCTCGCTGACTCCAAGATTTTATCCACTCACTTTTCTTTACATTTTAGCTAATACTAATCCACACATCTTGTTCACACCAACACTTTAAAAGTTTAGCTGGTTTGGTAATTTAAAATTTTCTAGGTTATCTATACTAGTACAAAACCAGCTGCATGTATAGGGATATAACTGCATTATGCAGACAACACTTTTTTTTCCACCACACAGAAGCTAGTTGCAGAACCACATTACTGCAGCTGCTCTAGGGATGCTGAAATTTCTTTATTCATCAGGAACTTCAGGCAGCAAAACTCATGTTCAGACTTGTGTTACTGTCATAGCTGAAAGTGGGAAAATAGACCAAGTCACAAAATAGGCTCAATGAAAAAGACACTGGATGAATTTATAATGGAGCACGAGGAGGCAGCCAAGAGGATGTTGGCAATAGCCTGGTCACACCCTTCTTCCAGGGTGACAGTGTGCCAAGCTCCAGGGTTGACAGGACACAGTAACCCCCATACAGTGTATCAGTATAAGGAAAAACACTGAAGTCTAAAGAATAAACTGCGAAGTTCACATACAGTAATCGGAGGGAAACAAAGCTCTCATTTTCCAACACAAACATACGATACTTTGATCACTATCAAGTTGCTTGCTGTACATACAAAGTATTTCAGTTTCTCACAGGAGGGAAACTCCAGACCCTTCATCATCTTTGTGGCCCTGTGCTGGACTCTCTCAAATATGTCAGGGCGCTTCTGCTACTGGGAAGCCCAGAAGAGGACACTGCAGGTTTGGGCTCACCAGTGTTGAGAGAAGGGGAAGGATCACCTTCCCTGACCTACTGGCAATACTTCATCTAACAGCCCAGGACACCATTAGCTTTCTTTGTGACAAGCGCATATTGCTGGCTCAGTTTCAATACAGTGCTCATGAGAAACCCCAGTCTATTTTCTGCCAAGATGCTTTCCAGCTGTTTCCTTACCCCATCATATACTGGTGCACGGGGTTGTTCCTCCCCAGGTGCAGGATTCTGCACTTGTCCTGGTTGAAGCTCATGAGATTCCTGTCTGCCCATTTCTCCAGCCTGTTGAGATCCCTCTGGATGGCAGAAAGACCCCCTGGCATGAGAGTCAGTCCTCCAAGTTTGGCATTATCAGCAAACTTGCAAAGGCTACTTTCTGCCCCATCATCCAGGTCATTAATGAAGATGCTGAACAGGACCAGACCGAGCATTAACCCTGGGGTACACTGCTAGCCACTGACCTCCAACTAGACTTCGCACTGCTGACCAGCACCCTTCCGGGCCCTGCCATTCAGCCAGTTTTCAGTCTAGCTCACTGTCTACTCATCCAGCCCATCCAAAACAGCTTTTCGATGAGGACCTCATGGGCCAAAAAGCCTGTGTTGAGAAGAGCAGGTAATGATGATGCTTTTTGTAAAATTCTAAAAAATTCCTGCTTCAATTGACTCTGTCAAAACCTTTTGTATTAAAATACTGTTTTACACCCACACACCCCATCTGAAACATTTTTTTTACAACCAAGTTTAAAATACTGATTTTCCGATTAGAAATAAAAGATTACAAGATTCTACATACAAGTTCACTGCTACTAAATGATAAAGGTTACCAGCTGATCTGCTGCATATTCAGATGACATCTATAGAATTTCTGAAATAAGAACCACAGAAAAATCTTAAGTCAGTTGCTGAAACCAACACAAATACTGTTTATTTGTCAGATGCCATTTTACATCAACACCAGGAAAAGACCTAAAAATCAACCAGATGAATTCATGTTAGGTGGCATAACAGTATTTTCACCAGGTCATGAGTCACAGGAGTTTAGCACACCTTATTTATGTAATATCCAAATAACTAAGACAGGAAGTATTCACAGTTACGGGTTCACTGCGGTTCCTGCAACAGCAGTGCCAGCAGGTAACATTTTGTGACAGCACGTGTACACACACATGCACACAGAAGAAAGAATTTGAAAAAAATAAAAATACCAAGCTTAGTTTTGGTCTCAGTTACAGACGACAAACTAGTTGGTGGATGAATGCTATACACTTTCACGGCAATATGAAAGGACAAAATCTAAGGCCTAGAAAGAGGTATTTCAGCAGTTAGGATTAAACTGGGGCACAAGCTAACTGTTAAAGCTATTTGAATTCCAGAGTATTAAACAATTTGTTAGACTTGCAACCAAGGGTCAACAGAAATCTAGGAAAACCTCAAAACAACTGTAGTCCATTTCTTGCCCTCCAAAAAAGTAACTTGGGAACATTAACCATGTAGCAATGAGCTGTGATGGGAACATTAACCAAGTAGCAATTTTGATTGTGTGAGCAGATTGGTGATGAAATAAAATGCACATTGTTGTGGTAAAATGGGAGAAGCTTCCAGTCCTATACAAATGTCAGAAAAGCCTACACAAAAGTAACCCAAGTATTTATAGTAGCTTAAAGACAACCTTAAAGAGGTTTAAACTATCAACTCAAGTATATAAAGTATATATTCCAATAAATTCTATCCTCTTTAACTTACTCCTCTTAAAAAAGATTAAGTGAAAAAGTAACAGTAAAGCAATTATATTCATATTTTAAATAATATTATTTTGCCATAGAACAAAATGTAATTTGAGGAATGTTTCAGTTACTAATATTCATGGAATCACAGAATCATTTAAGTTAGAAAAGACCTTGAGGATCATCAAGTGCAAAGAGCTCCAAATGTCTGTCATCTATCGGCTGCCCATTTCTATCATCTCTAGATGCTATTTTCTTTTCACTAACTGGTTTTCCACTTTACATCTCCTAAATACCAAGCATGAACTGCAGATAGATCAAATTTGTCCTGTAAGGATACACAGTATACCAGAAAGATCACCACAAGACCTGTGATGCTTCTGCCAGAATGACCTCTCAGTGCCTTATGCAAGAATTCAGCATATCCTACATAGTACTTTTCAAAAGGAAAAAAAAAAAAAAAATCCAACAAAACTACATCTACTATATCATGGCACAACAAACAAAAAAGGAACATCAAACTTGTATTTAGTACAAGGTAAAGTGAGTAGCTTAGCTAAGTTTCCACAATTATTTAAAAATGAGACAATTTCTTCAAAATACAAGAGCTGGCAACACTGAGTCCTCTGCTTATCAGCATGTATAGCAGAACCAGAAGGATGGATAGCACGGGGAAGCTCATCAAACCATACAGGTCCTTTTTAGTCCATTTGCCCTCTATAAATGTCAGTAAAGTTGTCTACCAGCTGTAATTCAATTTGTGCTTTATTTTATGAAGATAGATGTTTATAAACTAGTTGAAGACTACAGATAAATGCTCCTATCAAGTGGAAGAAAAAAAAAAAATGTAGTCTGATTCATTTCCAAACACATTCTTCCTTTCCATAACTCCCAGTTTCTTTCACTCAAAGAAAAAAAAAAAAGAGCTTGTTTACTTACACAGAGTGATTACTTCCTGAGGTTTATTTTCCTCTGTTTTCTTGGCTTTAATTAAACTTTGTATTCTGCTAAACATTAGCAAAACTTGGAAAAAGAGCACCCAGTTCAGCTGTACAGATTTCTGTTGACCCTGTTACATGAAAGTTACACCTCTAACAGTGATAGATTAAAAGTGTCTTTGGCTCTTGCTTCCATTATTGGAAGCCAAATTAGTTGTGACGTACAAAACCTTTTATGCAAACTCTGTATTTCTTGCAGAATTCATGCCAATTTGTGCTAAACTAGAGTCAGTAACTAGCTCAACATTTAAAAACAATTACAGTATTTCACATAAAAATCTTATCAACCACAATTTAGCCTAATGTTAAAAGTTATATTGCTTCTAAGTTCATTCTTTTAAGAACTAAACCAGCAGCTCCATTGATAGTTCCCTACCATTATACTATGGTAATATACACATTTACATCAGAAGTCTTAATAAAAATGTGTGTTAGTAAGAGGCTTATTGTAAACATTAAATACCACACTCCACTGAAATAATTTCTTGTGCAAACTGGCATCAAACATGGAATTCAGGTTGTGTGTATTAGTACATAAGAAGCAATGACTATGTACGTTTTACCATGATTAACTTTAAAGAGCGCTATTTAGTGTCATGGTAATCCAAACATGACTATTCAGGGGAAAGGCAGTATTTTCTTCTTAGCATCATGAATTCTAGGCTTTGTATATGCATACATATATTTATGTATATACAAATATACACAGATACACACAAACAATTCTTGTCTTTGGCAGCTGAATTTGAAAAAATAACAACAAACAAATTTCAACACAACTGACCACCTGTAGCACCACAATTACAACCTGCAGGTCCAGGGCAGCAAACAAATGTGCTTTTGTTAAGCTAGGTTTAATCCTGAAAGCTGTCAAAATAATCACAGCTGTTCCTGACTTCAGTGATGGCAGAACAGGACCTTCAATACAGCTGAAAATTTAACATTCAACCTGAAATATTCCCCCCCCCCGGAGAAATATAAAAACTGCCAATACCTCGTAAAATATTTCTACAGAAAAGAAACATTACTCTTTGTTCCAATCATCCACTGGTCCTTTTTTGTCACATGCTCCATGAATCAATATGGAACATTTGAACAAATCCTTAGGGATCAAAGTTTATTAGCACCGGATACGTCAAGGACCTATTTATAAAAATCAACACTAACATTATGTAATAAAGAAAGGTAAGGCAAAGACAAGATGATAAAATTATAGAAATAAAACATTATTTCATTCACTCATTTTCCCCAAAATAATCACTAGAACTGTTCTACACATATAAAGAAATGAGTGAAATAACCAGTGGTCCTTACTAAAATGTACTGTCATTTAATGCTGGTGTTTAACATGCCCGTTGCCTGCAACGGGCATTCTGCTAGGAACTTCAGATCCCCAGCATGAAAGAAAAAGTAATGTTTTGACTATTCAATACAATATTTTTAATCACTTAGAAACACAAAGTTAGAAAACCTGGGCAAGATTAACATTATAAATAATAATTTTTTAAAAGTATATTATCTATGGGCTAGGGGTAAGCAGACTTTATTCCCCAAATGACTCATTTCAGCTAGAAGATTCTATTTCACTAGATCGCAAGATATACCAAACACTCTACACCAAAAATTAAAAGAAATATGCCAAAGGCAATTTACAGAAGTCTAAAACCCATTTTTGAAAGGTACTTTAATTTGTTCATTTGTACCTGTAATGACTATTGCAGTTTTAACATTAAAAAGTCAGTACTTTTTTCTTCAAATCGAAGTCATCTCTGGCATGTATAATTATTACAGTGTTTTAATATTTATATGTATATATTATTTTTTAAGACACCAATGTTTCGTTCCTATTAAGCAATAGGTCAGGTTTGGCGAATTCTGGTGAAGAAAGTCACAGCATGTCTTCTCCCCTCAGAAACTGGCATCTCAAATAGTAACATTAAAATTGACAATAGTTCTTCACATAACTATGTCCAAGCAGTCTGTTCATTTTGTTTTCTGAAATGCTACATTTGAGACCAAACAAAAAACAAAATAACTGAAGTTTCAAATATGTAAGTGATTACTAGAATTATGCCACAAAATTATTTTTACAATACATTTCTGCAGAAATAATCCCTAAGTGAAGCTTTTTTTTATACACATATACAAAATTTAGACAGCAATATACACATAAATCACAGTGAAGATGCTGGCAAATTCACCAATTCGTAGTGTAAATACAGAATGCAAAGCAGCCTTCAAAGAGAACAATGCTACACAGCAAGCATAGCTGGCTTGTTAAAGAGCAAACATCAAAAGTTACCAGCAAAAGGGATGCAGTGCAAGAAAAGCAGCATGCACTTTGATACAAATAGCAGTTTATGGCTAATGGTTGACATAACTGTGGTAACAGTGACTCTTGAGTGGCTGTGCATAGTTAAACTCCTATGTCATCTGTTTTCCTTTATACCATTCCACAAACTCATCCAACAACACTGGCCCTGTAGAGAGATCAAATAACTGTATTTTACAAAATGTTGCAAACAGACACTGAATGATTAAGCTCAGAAAAATAAATTATTTTAGAACACAACATTTGGAGGTACTTACAGGCTCCGTCTTCGTCATAGTTACTGAGGTCAAGGTTAATTGTTCTGCTGAATTCAAGAACATTACACCACTGGTCCTTATTGATAACTTTGTACTTCGATTGCTGCGTAAGGCAAGAAAAAGAAGTTACTAAAATAGATTTTCAACCCCCTCAAATTCAGATTTAATTTTTTTTAACAGAAGATTTAAACCTTGTGATGAATTAATATTTTAAATCTGAATGCCATCTAAAACTAAACAGGATTAAAGAAACCACTAAATACTCAAACTAGCTTTGGATAATTCATGTTCCTCATTAAGACATCTTTTAGTGGACAAACATACAGCAATAAAATGAAAGTCCAAAGGCAAATCAAAGACATTCCATACTTTATCTTCCATTAAATAAATCTTAACAGCACAGGGATTTGGGAAAAAGAAAGATAACCAGTTGCAAATGATGCATTGAGAGTCAGTATATTCTAAATCAGAACAAAAATTCTTAGCTGTTCATTCTACTTACAGTTAAATTAACACAGAAGACAGATCATATAAATGTAATTCTGTTTCAAATGTCATACCTCTAAAAACTGGTGAAATACTGGAAAAAGGGACCATGTTTTTCCTAAAAGAAGGCCCAACATACACTTGGCAGTATTGATATCTAGGCTGCGCTGGTCCTTTTCCTGAAAAAAAAAAAGGAAAAGATCAAGAAAGAGAAAAGTGCATGATTTCAGGATTTTTCACTTCCCCCACTGCCTGTACTGCTCACCCATACATACAATAAACAAATACAAATAGAAGTATCAGTGTTTTTTATCAAAACACAGCTTCTAGTACATGTTCCTTCCTCTTAGCTAGTGGCTTACTATTTAGAGATGCTGATATCCATAGACTTTCCCAAAAAACTGTCACTGCTGTTGGAGATATTTCTTGTGGTACGACTACAACTATATGAACCCTCAGTAGACAGCAGCTGTCAAGTAACATTGACTATGCAAAGAGTGAGCCAAGGAGGTTCTTTGTTCTCTTTTCTACCAATTACATGAAATTCAGATCAAATTATCAAATGAGCAGAGGGAACATAATATACCAGGACATGGAGACCCCTCTCAGAACTGTCCCAGTTTTACTTCAATGTACCAGTAGCATATCAAGGCTTATGGGGTAATTTTTTTTTGGTTCTGCTAAGAAAAAAAAAAAAGTATCATCTGTACCCAGCAGATTTCATTACATCTTATCAGTGAGAAAGGCAGTACATTTGAGAAGACAGCTTCTGCAAATCTCAAAAGTAATGTGTATGTGTAAAATTCCATTTTGTTATTTTAAGTAGTTTATCCATTTACATTTGTTGTCTTGAAATCAAACAATTTTTGGTGAGAGATGGAACGTAAAACTTCACCCTTTTATGCCTTGCTACCCAAGAAAAATGGAATTGAGCCCTATGCCTCATCTGTACAAATGCAGTTGTATGTATTACAGAATACACATCTTTATTAAAAAAACAAAACAATAAAAAAAACCAAACTCAAAAACTAAATTAACTGTCTTCTATAATGTAGGAAGGATGAGAGATGCCAGTTCTCAGACAACTGAATGCCTTAACCAGAAGGTTATCCTCTTACTGACATTGCATAAAAAATACACCTCAATTCTAAAACTGTGTACACATAATTTAATGCAGATTTGTTTTGGAAGGAAAGTGGGGAGACCAGCAACTCTGAGAATATCAGAAGCTGTTTTACATTCTGGTAAAAGATGTTAAACAGTGCTGGTCCCAATACCAGGGAAGTTTATATTACATCCAGCTTTTGATTGTATCAGTTATTTTTACCACCTGCAGAAATGCCTGGTTTGCCTTCCTGTTACAAATATGTTTATGCTCACAAAATTCAAATAGTAAGAAGAAAAACCAGGGTAATTATAAAGCCAGTGGAAGCAGCAAAGCTCCAATATGCAACATAACCGGGTCTAAATAATTTCCCTGAAGTTACAAAATGCTTGAAGCAGAGAGTCAACAAAACATGTAAAAAAACTAAACCACTGAACAACAAGCATCCTACAAACTTTTCTAGTTCTGGCATTTTGCATACACCTTTTTAGAACACAAACAATTCCATTTGTCAGAAGCAATCTTGAGTGGTATATTAAGAGAAACACACTTAGAAGTACACAGTCTTAAAACTATTACTTGTGACAGTAAAGTTTTAATTTCAGATGCTGGTCTTCAACAGTGCTTACCCGTGCAAAGTCAAATGCATATCTATAAATAAGTTTAAAATTGGCAGGCTCATTTAATAAAGATCTCAAGTAATCCAGAGAATTTCTCAATTTTTCTGTTGTATCACATCTACAAGAAAAGCACAAAGTGAATTTAGAGTCTGCATTCTAGGACATCAGATGCCTGTGTAAGAAACGAATCGCTAACATGTATCTCCATCAATCTGTACATCACTCTATAGAAAGGCATATTTATGAGTTTTCATTAAAATGCCTTGATTAAACCCATAGTGTGAAATGGATTTTAAAAAATAGTGAAATCTTATGCTGGTACTCTGCTAAAAACTTGCTTGGCTTTGTAGAAAACACATTTTCTAACAGATTAAACTAAGAATGTCTGCATGTGGCAAATAACCAGCAAACCACAGCAGCTCTACAATACTTTTATAGTTTTGCTGAGACAATAGAACATGCTACATAATTTTAGTGATTCTATTCTGGAAGACAAGTCAAAACACAGTTCTTCCTCCAACTCTCTATGAAACACATGATTATTCAACTACATTTATGTTAAATTATGCCATGAAGACAAGCTCTCAATTGGACAAAGCAACTCTTAGAGAGAACATGACAGTACAAAGTCACAGAAACAGTCTGTATTATTAAGCATTTTAAACTACATGTGCTTTGACAACACACCAGTATCTGATAGATACATCTAATCCAGTGACAAAGATAGATGTCCTTGGGAAAAGAAACAATATCGAACCTCATGACATTTCTGTGTTCTTACAGCTGCTGATGTTGTAATCCAACTGTAATCCAAAGCATGTCAGGTTTCTAAGTGCCCATATCACCATAAATAGGACCAAAAATGTATTACTTCTGCTCCAAAGCAGACCTCTCTGCTGTAGGAGGCACGAGTCAAAACATCAAAGTCTGTTTTTTCTAAAAAAATGGGTTTACTATATAACACTTAAGAGGTTTTTCTGAGCACTTACTGTAGTGATGTCATTCCTTTTAACCATTCTTGTAATGTAAAGTAGCCCATGTTTTGTGCATCCAATTTCCATGCTAGCACAAGCATAACTACCTGTTTTAAAGAGGGGGGGAGAAAAAAGACTCAAAAGAATTAACAAAAATCCACACATTTTTCAAATAGCTACAATTTAGTAGTAGTTTTGTAGGCTACAAATGCTTTACTCATACAAAGAGGACGTCCAGATGTTTGCTGCATTATTTTAAAAGTTAAGAAACATGAAAATGACAAAAGTGTACATAATCCAGAGAAGACAACAGTGCAAAGATATGGGGTGAACATCCATCCACCCAAGTTACCAGCAGCCACCTTACTTCAAGGGAGCACGCAGAGTCATCTAGTGAGCCCTGTAATGTGGAAGGTGAGTTGGTATAAAAGCTACATAAAAGGTTTCCCAAAACAACAAAATTGAAGTACCAGTTTGATGGCAAGTTCCATTTGACATTTGTTAAACTATACTCTATACAAACATCAGTTGCAATCCATAAGCTCTCTGAAATCCAGATATTCTAAAACTAGTAATGGTTCCACCTGAATCCAGCTATCCCATGGTACCATCAGCCTACCTAATTTTGCAGGTCTGAACATGGAAAAGAATTTAGGTCAATGTTATCTAAAGCTAGATGAACTAACATTAACATTAACAAAAACAGACGCTGAAACATAAATACTTCAGTTTTGTCCAAAAGTAAAGTCTTTTTCACATCTCACATGGAAAACTGCCACAATAAATAACTTTGATAAATTGATACCATAGGATTATCTTATTTAGGAACTTAATAAACCACTTTTGATACATATATATGGAAAAACATGCAGGATAATTGACCCTGCAGACTCGAACAAAAAAATAATCAAGTAATTTAAATTTGCATTTCAGCCATTAACTAGCTAATGACAGTGCAGCTCTACACAGTTTTTAATATGAAAACAGAATACCTACACTTGTATAAGCATATGTCTGTATAAATCTCAATGGTTTATTATACTAATAAGCTCAAAAATTAGCAGATTACATCTTGCATTCCCAGTAAATCTTTCAAAACAATTCTCATTTTACTTAGTCAGAGATGATGCTTTATGAAACCTGCAAAATATGGGACTTGCATATACTTTTAAAGAACAAAAATTAGGCACTAGGAAAAAACTTGTAAAACTCACAACTATTCCTTTTTAAATTGTCTCTATATTTTATATATATATATTGTCTATATATACATACATAAAAATATAGATGTAATTAAACTGTGTTTTGAAATAGCATCATCTGAGTGCTAATACTGCTCACAGTATTTCAAGTATTTCAAATACTTTTGGGGAAAGGGAGGAAAGAAAGTGAAAGAGAAGGGGTGGCAGCAAACAAATTTTTACAGATTGTCAGGTAAGTGTTTCAAATAAAGGCAAGCTGTTTCCAAATGTGTTTATAGAACTCCCTGGTTTATATTTATTTACCTTATTTTAATCCAAAGAATTGTTTTAATCTTGATGGGAAAAAAAAGAGATATAAGATTGGCACGTGTGCATTTTAACAGATTAGGCATCTTTTGAATGGACTTTGAACTTACATTTTCTGGTTCGACTCCAATGTCTTCACAAAATTTTTCCATACCTTCTGGCCCTACAACGTCATCAGTGCCTGCAAACAAAATGCATTCTATGTAACTCAGAAAATTAAAGCAGCCTGAGCTTCACAGCACAAGAGAAATGCAATCACGCAGTACATGAACTTCCACACTTTTTTTTGTTTCCTTCTGACATGCAATAAGTACACTTACACTTACTAGTAGACTTGTACACACATAAATCATTATCTCACCTTTGGAAACAGAGACAGAAAAAGCGTAAAACAACTTTCCATTCCTGACAATATCCTTTTTCCTACCCATCTACTAAGATAATCTTGGAAGAGTAAATAATACCTTTAAGAACACACTTAAGACCAGCAAAATACTGCCACAGTTAAATGAGTGGACGATGGTCAGTGAAGCTCATTTCTTGGCATGAATCTACTGTTATCATAAGATCGTATCATACAAAAATGGGATGCATAGCTATACAGGATACAAGACATGACATTCCCAGAATCTCATTCCTTTTTGTCTCATATACTATCTTTATATGATGCTATCTACAAAAAAGAGAGCCCAAAATAAAAAAATCTTGTGCTCATTTGTTCACATACCATGGCTGCACGTTATCTGAATTTTAGTAACTGCAGGGGGAAGATGTGAATTACTATTTCCTTGCTGACTTAAAATGAAAAAAAGATTAAAACTATAGATGCTATTAGATGCAATACTATGAAAGCATGCTGTTAAATTAAGGTATTTATAACTTCTACAGTGCTCTACTGACAAAACTACAGAGGCATTGAGAATTGTGCTGCGCAGTTCTGTTTTTAAGTACATTTTAGAAACTTGGACTATATGTTAGAATTATTTTACGCTTATATGGCTCATTTGGGAAGAAAAACAGAAGCTGAAATACCTACTACCACTCAGTATAAAGATCACATGCAAGAAAAAGAGGTTTTATAAAAGGAAGATCAATCTGTATTTTATTATTATTTGACCTGCTATTCTAGAAAAAACAAGGTTTAATCTTATCTTTTCCCATCTTCTCATTACACCCTCTCAACAGTTCTCCGAGTGTACACAACAGCCTTTTAAAAGACTTGTTCTGTAAGGTAATGACACACTAGGGGCAAAAACACTAATTCAGTGTCAAGTGTCTGCATATATAAAGAAGACTCATGAAGCAAGAACACAAAAGAGATTATTCTTTGAAAACTAATTTTGTAGAATGTTACTCAATACTGTAAACAGAATCATAGCCTCAATTTTTCTGTTTTATCTTGGTGCATTCAATGGTAACCCAAAAGTTCTTTCATATACAGCCTTCCTTTCATCCCTTTTTCCTATGAAAGTCTTGCCAAAAAGAAGTTATCCCTGTTGCTAAGGTAAAAAAAATAAATCAAGCTGGTCATAAAGTCTGAGAATCTAACAGGATAATATTGGCTTGAATTTGTCTGAATCTCCTCTCACAGACTGCCACAGAGAAATGAGCTCACAAACTAATTAATTTAGTTTATATAATTTTATTGGAAGAAAAAATATTTTATTATATCAAATTAAGTGACTCTTCCATTATGCATAAGAAGTAGACTAAACACAAGTTGTGAGCAACATTATCCAAGACAGAATCAGAAAACTCCAAGATGACTTGATTTTGTCAATCACCTATTTCAATTTCTTTTGGTCTTTACAGTCATGAGATCATTTTTCTCCTCTTCAGAAAACCATGTGTAAAAAAATCAATACAATAACCAACTTCACTATTAAATTATGATCCTTTGTGACTGCAGAACATAATTAATCATCTTAGAAGGAATGCCTGAAGAAAGCTCTCATATGCAGTAATTCAGTCTCCCTTCCCTGTAACTTGGTGATGGAAAACTATATATAAAGAAAATACTAGGATGGGATATTTGAATATATTCACTTCTTTGCTTGAAACCATAAGCACCTGATTCAACACGAACAAAACTAACTTAAACACTTCCAACACCTTTTATTTTTCTTTTTTAAAAAGATCCACTTCTTCTGAAGCATAATTCCATACTATTGAACACTAACATGGCAGATGACAACTTGTAAAACCATCGAGATTATAACACTTTGGACAAAAGTACAGCTTTACCTGTAGATTCGAAAAGTAAAGTATGCATGTTCCACAATATTTTAAGTTACACACCTTCTGTATTCTTTTTATAAAACAAAGACAAAATTGCCCCTTCAACTCTTCAGGTCACACTAAGAAAAGCTTCTTTATGACTTTTTTTTAAAAAAAAAAAAGCCTCTATCTTTGGTCTTGGAAAAGCTCAGTCAATGTACTTTTTATATTACAATGTAGATTAAATTGTCATTAAGAGGCAATTTGCATTTCACCCATACCTGCATATTCGTAGAACCATTCTAAGCATCTTTTACTTGAAAAGACTTCTTCATCTGCTTTTATTCTAGTCGAATCATATTTTCTATACATACTTCAAAAAAAAGAAAGAAAAAAGTAATTAATGAATAATTTTTTTTTAAAGCAAACTTATAGTAAACAGCCACTGTAAGCAGCAACATTTTTCCTTTCTGTCTTCACATCCAGGGTTTTGGGACACTGCTTAACACTGAATACTGTGTTTGCTCAATCTGTCACACTTCAACCGATTCATAATCTTTATCCATATACATGAACTTTCCTTACAATAAATACAGACTAGTTCAAATTCAACCCCAAACTGCTTTGTGTTAGTTCAAGTAAGGTTTGTGCACAATGTTAGTTACCACAATCAACTGATGGGCTACAACTTGGCTATGGGTCTAAACCCAGAGTAATTCCACATTAGTCCACATAGGTCCTGACTGTAGGCACACAGATACTTCATGCACTTTGAACCATCAACTAAGAACTGCACGTTCTCTTTTTGCCTCCTCAAAAAATTCTAAAAAAGGCATAAAGGCCAAAATAGACATGACCCGCACTTAAATCATTTTAAAGTAACACAAAAGAACATGTTGCAGGTCCTCACTGACAATAACTCAAGGAACCTCATGCATCACAGGGCAAACAGTTATCTGAAAAGCCAGATACAGAGCCCCCCTTCCCTCCAGAGATGACCAGCAAGGTAATGCTCTCCTTCAACAAGAAGCATAAGGAATTTTAACTACATTCAGGAAACAACACTGAAGTACCAGTCTCCTGAATTTAGTATCTGAAATATCAGCTATTCCTTCCATGCTTTAGAAGTTGGTGAGTTACTCCACCCTCTTTAGACTTCCTGAAATGGAGAATATAATTTTTGCCTGCTAGGGGAAACAGACTCAGCAGTCCCCTGCTGCATAAGCATTCTCTGATCCATTCCCAGCACTCTGCAGTAGCTTGGGCTCATAAGGGTGGAAAAGAGATGAGCAACAAATGGCTTATACTAGAGAAGGTAGCCAAGAACGAACTTGTATGTGTTCTGAGCATGCAGACCTTCCTCTTACAGTGTCAAACTCTGGTGGGGGAGGACAACAAAGGGACTAGTTGGCTCAGGGAAAATTCTGAAACAACTTGATGAAACTAATTTGGAGTTGATTTCATCACCATTTTGTCCTTCTAGAAAAACATGTAAAAGATGCCTACAATTACAAGCTTAGAGATCCCACTAACCTCCACCTAGCTCAGCTATCAGCTATGAGGAACTGTAGCTACAAGTTGAGGGCACACAGATCATTCACAGAGAAATTCAAAGAACTACTTCATGTTTATTGCCATAGTTTCTTGAAAGCAACTAACCATTACAAAAGTAGTATTATTCAAAACAAAATGATAAATTGCTAATTGGAAGACAAAATGAGGCTCAAGAAATTTCAGGATGGACAAAAAAAGTAACACTGCACTGAAACACACTGCTCTGCAACAAACAAACTGTGAAGAAAAAGGCCACCCATACAGGTTTCAGAACTGCATATATTCTTATACCCACAATTTATAGGTTTTTTTCACTTTCATTGTGAACATAGTTTTTTTCTATTTTAATTATCTACTTTGTATAAGCTTTACTGCAGTTGAAGATGAACAGGCTGACAACACTGCCCACTAAGCAAACAACTAAGCCAGAAGGTATAATTCAGAGTTGAAACGATTTATTTTTTAAAAAACAGGTCTGATAACATTCACATAGCTTCAGAATGAACTGTGATCATGAAAGACCTATCTGTTGTTTTAGGCTATTGTGAATTCAGAAAAATTAAAAATATGTCTTGAGAAAAAGAAAGGAGGCATTCTGCCACTTTGGCAAAAGCCTACTTATTTAGTATCCCCTTCTTTATAGCAAATAAACATGACAAACACAAACTGGAATACCAAGTTGAAAAATCAACTGTAGCAGGAGACAGTCAACATTTTTATTCTATTCTACTTAATAAAGAAGTTTGTCAGAGCACTGCTGGGACCTAGGACACACAAAGCTCATGTGGATCCTAAAGACAGACATTTATCACAAGATTCAAATTTTTTTCTTACAAAGGGATGATAACCAAGTGCCTCACCCTGCTTGTTCTCATAACTCACCAACACATTAGCGGTCAGTATGCAAAGAGTGGATTTGGGCAGGAACCCTCAAGAAACAAATTTATTTACAGAGCTCTAGGTCATGTAAGTATTTCAGAAAAAGGATTCTTGCATCTTCAAGTGGCAAAGCTAAATGCTGCACTCTGAACCAAGACACCAAAGACACCAGCATGTCTAAGAGGAATTATGCCTTTTTTATACATTAATTGCATCTACACATAGCAACTTTTCATATGACTGATACGGGACTGAAAGTAATTTGCTGTGCTTAAGGCTCAGGTCATTGTTTAGGAACTGCAGGAATCAGCAATATTCATTCATTAATAAGTCTGTGTACCCAAAAAAGGGCCAAGTAACTCCAAGCAAAACCCTGGCGTCAAACTTGTCATTGTTCAAAAAGCTCAGTATCTGACCACTGGAGTTTGATTTTTGAGAAACCAGAACTGGTTACAGATCTTCCAGCCTCTGCTGCTAGGAGAAATTACTGAGAAATTCAGGGGGGAGAAAAAAAAATTAAAAAAATCAGAAAGGATACAAACTTGAGCTATCCCAGCCCCTGCTACTAATTAGCCAGGCATTCACTGAAAGTTCAAGTGACATCATACCACATTTGTAATGAAAACAGACTATGCACAGCCAGAAGTATAAAACCTTACAACAAAAATGGCTGGATTAATTTCAGATGCCTTTCTCTCAATGTAAAGGAAATAACAGCAGATCACATATTCTGCAAGACAAGGACCACTTAAAAATTAACAACAGAAACAAGTAACAATGCAGACCCAGTATTAGTGATCTCTCATGTATAAAGATGAAAAGCCTGTTCTCTCCCTGCTTACCCCAAAAAACAAATTAGTTTCTCCCCTCAGTCTAACTAAACCAGCTAGTTTTGTTATCAAGTGACTCCTAATTCTTGAAGTGCTTAGTGAAGTAAGATGAGCAGGGAGATACAAGCAGGTAGACAAGTATCTGAGACTACAGCCTAGGACAACAAGGTTCAATTAAGACAGCAAGCTCAAGTTGGCAGCACAGGGTAGAGAAGATTTCAAAGGCTGTGTCCTCTAAATGATCATTAATACAGATCTGATTGTCTCAAGAACCGTATGTGCAGAGAAGAAAAACAGAAACTGTCAGAGATGTCTGGAATCCATTTTGTATCTTAGAATATTTTTCATATCTTTGGAACTGCTCTATAAATACCAGAGGATTACATGCCTCATCTTTGTGCTAAGGACAGGATCTCTTGCTACACAGACAAATACAAACTGCCAGACAGCACAGGGCAGATATCCAAATAGTTTTTAAGCACCAAACAGCTACTGAACAGATCCAAGTTGGAAACAGCAAGTATCAACAACTCACAGCTTCCCCAAGATGACCACCACCAGTACCTTCAAAAAGATGCACAACAATTATGCTGACCATGTTACAGTTTGGTAATTTGCTTATGTGCTGATGGTCTGCAAGAGGAAACTGCCAATTTCAGTCACAGACCAGAAGTGAAAGAACATACTGCCCAGAGTCTGTAGAAGAGGAAAAAAAAATTAACACAAAACAGAAAACCAGAAAGGGGAAAAAAAATTACAGACATCTTCCATAAAGGAAGGGCCAATGAGTACAGTTGGTACTTTTGGTACCATAATTTGTACCACTGTAAGAGAATGGTGACACTAGAACAGGATTGCTAAAGGGTGTTTTCTCAGTCATCAGGGATAGAAAGATGCATGCAGAACTTTTTCCCAAGTTATCTTCTATACCTATCACGACTGGACAACAGCAAACTCTGAGCGTTTGCATTTATCCACTTCTGAATGCTGACACACTGCCCATCAGGAGCAGCAAGGGAAAAAAACACATATGGGCAAAGAGTATATATTTGTCTCTCAGATGAGACACACATGCAGGTAGAATTCCTCAGAAAAATCTCCACCAGAAAAATAATTATTTTTACTAGTTTTAGCATGATGCTGCCAGTGTTAGGACAGTGACAGCAGACTGAAAAAATCCTTTATATTACAACCAATATCCCCTAGGGGAAAATTTAGCTTTTCTTTTGTATTATCCTTAACAGCCATTTTACCAACCAGAGAGAGGAAAGAATCTGGGACAGGGCAGCAGAAAAAAAATAAGATTAACCTGCCTAAATTTTATAGAAGTGATATAACTAGTTAACCACATTTAAAAGAAGTGATTTTCTCAGAAATGCTTGCATCTCCATCATGACCTAATAGCTGACTCACAACATTCATTTTTAATCTTATATTTTAAATACTATTATGAACTAGGGAATTGTAATATCCTGCCGTAAAGATCAGACAACGTAGTTTAGAATTGGAAGTGCTATAGTTAGACACAAACCAGAGAAAAATAACTAGGTGTCCAGGCCTTTCATGTTTCTTCAAATACACGATCATCTGTATTTTTCCAGATAATTCATTTGTAGCTGATTTGGTGGAAAAGCAAAAGCATGAAAACTCCATTCAGCTATTACGAGGTGAGCAGGCAAGTCACCATAAGAGCACATGGTCAGTGCCAGTAAAAGGACCAAGGTTATGGCAATTCTCTTCATTCTACTGCAGTTTTCAAAGCTGGGTATCTACCCCTGATCTGAGCATGCTTCAACTGTACTGGAATTTGTTAGAGCTCCACCTATCACAGCTGCAACTCCGGGCTGTGTGGCTCCACAATATTCAGAGACCAGTCAAAGCAGGGAGTTTAGGCCACACAAAACATTATCTTGACTGTGGAAGCTGGTAATAGTTCATGGGGGGAGGGGGGACGGGTACGGGTGAAGGAGGAAAAAAAGGTACAGTGTATTACGTTAAGTCAAAAGTTACCTCATGAAGATTTACAGCCTGCTCATTTCATAAGGCAGCGTTTACTGAGTGAAAACATTCAGAAATTTACTAACAGTAGCTTTGTTTCTATGCAACCAGAATTTATTCAAAACTTTTACCTCATTTTGTTTGAGATTCAACTGAGTAAATAATTGCCTTCAGAGGGTTGAAAAGATGCAAACTTTTGATTGAAGATGTCCCCTGCTGCTTCCATTAATTGTAATTAATGTAACATTTTGACTGAGAATTTTCATCAGTACAGCACAATGAAAATACTTTTATACAGCCTAACCTATTAATTCACAATTATGATTTAAGCAGTAATTTCATAAATACCATAGTAGAAACAATTGGGAGGAAGAAGAGATATTTTACAATTTGCAAGCCATAACAAGACTGCCTAAAGCAACCAAAATGTAAGAGTTGTAACTACAATAAAGTCAATACTGTGAGACTGAGAAGAAAATACAAACTAAGTCTTCAAGTCCTTATGTGCTGGTGAGCATGTGCTGAACTATTTACTTCTAATAGGTATTATTTAAAACAGGATAAATCTTACTGTGATCCAGAAATGAATACACCAAGTTATTTTCATTATACATGTATATTATATGTAGTATACAAATTCCCTCCCACTGAAACACTGCATTCATGGTTCAAGGAGATGTTATGAACATTAATTAATGGAATTCAAACTTTTACTATAAAAGGGTGGGATGCTCAAGAACACGTCTGGAATCTTTGTTTTCCATAATCAGTCTATGCACGAGATCAGCATTTTCAAATAACTTCACTAAAAACTCAAGTTTGTTCCTACAGTTCTTTTTCCACGGAAGACAGTGTCATTATTTCACTAGTCTTTCCAAGCTGAGGCTCTATCCCTAACAGCGTGGAACCAAGGGGGAAGGCTATTACAAGCTCCCTCGTATCAGATGTGTTCAAGCTTATGAGCAAGAACCTTTAGAAATCACCTTCTCTTTCCACACAAAGCACTGCTGAAATAAACTTTTTTGAAAGAATATCTATGTCAAAAGTATCTCAATATCATAGTTGAAGAGATTATAGGAATATTCCACAAATAGTGGAGACAGGAAATACCACCTAACCAAACTATCCACCTAAGGATAAAAAAAATAAACTTCCTTTCTATGGAAAAACCAGGAGGAATTATCAACATTTGGTCTCAAGTCATGGTAACACCATTAATGATGACAACTCCTTCAATAATCTTCAGACCATTCCCTAACACACTGTAAGAAAAGGAAGACTCAGAATTACTGAACTAATTTGTGAATAATGTGTCCTGGTGTTAGCCAGGACAAAGACAATTTTATTTCTGATTTTTTTTTTCTTCAGTGAACTCTCTTTTAAAGCACCACAGTGGATGAAATTTACTGCAAGTTTTCCAGTTAGTGGGCTGATAACACCAGAATGTTTATAGATACTGCTGAGAGACCAAGGACACTTCTCTCCACTTGTTGAATCCACTGCTTCAGACACTAAAGGAGCAGAAGAATCGTATCTACAACCCTCCCATATGGATGAGCAGACTAGACAGATGGTAAATTGGCAAAACATTATTCCATCCCATACACATAACTCTCAGTATATACTAAGTTCAGGGACAAGTGGGATAACTTCCCTTTTTCTCACTCTTCCATCCATGGCCAGCAACCAGGGAGAACTCTTTCTATCTGCCTCCTTTGATTCCTAGGCCCATGCATTCCTGACCCCTGTATTTCTGCCCTCAGCTCCTGCCTGCTCTGCTGCTATCTCTGGAAGCAGTTTGGGACTTTTTTGGGACTGCCCTGGCGCAGGGGAGTGTAATGGGAGTTGCTGAGGGTGGGAGGAGGTGACAGGGGTTTTGCACATTCCTGTACATATTTATATATATTTGTGCATACTTATCATTAGTATTTCATTAAAGCTGTCTAGTTTATTTTTTAATCCAGAAAGCTTCTCTCTTTATAATCTCTCTCCTTTCCCTATCTGGGTGGGAGTGGGAGGAGATAAGAGAGCATTACTGCCACTGGTTTAATTGCTGATCCTGAAATACACCCAAACATATTGTCCCTATAAGTTGGCCACTTTTGTGGCATGTGTTACGAGAACATACAAAAATTACATCATTCCATAAGCATTTGAAGTGACAAATAATCTCCACTAGGAAATACACTCTTCTGGAGAGCACACTTCATATTTTTTCATTGAAAGCAGACATTCAAAAACAAACATGGACTACCTTTTTTGCTTAATACAGAATTTTCATGAGCTAATGTACCTTGGAGCCTTATCCTGAGTTACTACTATGCAGCTTCTAGCAAGTTTGCCTCTAAAAGAGAAACAATGCTAAAGAATTGGGACAAGAAGCCCCTTGTTCCATAAACCGGCATCGCACTATCCATACTGTTTTTATTGTATACAGAATTCCCTGTACACAATGTAGGAGGAAATGGCTTTGTAACTAGCACTGCTATAGCACACTGCTGTAGAGGTTCCCTATTTTAGATGGATTTCTGCTTGACAAAATGAGATGTCTGACCTCCAAAGACCAAACACAGCAAGCATGAGCTCCGCCTGAAAAACAAGCATGGAATTAGGAGACAGCTTGTTCTTTGTCTACCTTGTTCACAGAAGGTTACAAGGACTTAAGCCAAATTTGAAAAAAATCACTCTTTGAAAGAAAACGGAGCTCCAACATTGAGCTGAGTATTCAGCAAATTTCTTCATACTGCCAGTCATGATGAAATAAAAACTGTCTTCTTGAAGACCAAAATAAAAGAAACTTATACAATGGGAAGCAGATAGAGTCCCAAACCCCTTATAAGCTAACAAGGAAGACAGATAAAAATTGGATCCACATCTGAGAAAGATATTCCCCTGTGGCCCAGGAGTGGTAGATCTGGTTTCACCTCCACTTCTAAAAGCAGGTTGAGGTCTTCCTTTTAATAAAGGCTTCCACAGCAGTAGAAGGAAGACTAGATCCATCCTTCAAATTATGTTTTCAAAAAGTTCTTGAAGTTATTGTATGTATACATTAATTATAAAGTAAAAAACTACTTTCTCATAATTTTCTTATTTGAATTACATAAATCAGTGTATCTTACTTACAGGCATCCTTACATTCTAGGGGTTTGGGTTGATTTGTTTTACCATCAAGGTCTTGGCAAAGGGAGGTGTAGTTAAATTTAATGAATCTCTCTGCTTTGATTCTAGAAGCATTCTGCCTTGTTTCACTTCCATACTTTATGCATATCTTTGAATAAGTTGTAATGTCCTCTATCAACTATTCAGCTTTTATATTTTATTATCTCAAAGAAACAACAATAATATTAAGAACATGTACTGCTTTTTTGTTCTTTCTAATGTTATATATGCAAAGCAATGAAAGGGAGAGTTGAAATCTCTTTCTTCTGCACCAACAGACCATTTAATAAATTCCAGTGCAGCTACAGTTGTGCAACCCTATTAAACACAATGGAGTTATAGAGGCATAACCAGAGGCTTAATTTGGCTACCAGCATTTTTCTTACTCATGCTAGGAAATGAAAAGGCAAGCACCCTGCCCAATTTCAGGCTGACAGGAGAAAAATGCATCTTTTTACCATCCTGAAGATAATTGTTATGGAAGCATGTGTTTTCTGAGTCACCAGTACAAAAACTGAATAGAGCTCAAATCCTACTGACCAATGCACTGGCTAACTTTTTGTCTGTATACATCACTTTTCAATGTCTGCACCTATCATTCAGGAGTGTGCACTCCTGTACTCCCACAAAATCTCAATTTAGTGCACATAAACAGCAATTACCTTGCACACAAGAAGCACTGTTGATGGTTTTTGAATGACCGGGGCTGACTGAACACCCATATCCTGAAAATCCAACACTTGCAGAAGTCTGCCAAAAGAACACACTGCTTGTGCACCTAGTTACAACCCATTCGGACTTCTGTTGCTCAGAGGGAAGCTGAGAAGCACAGCCTCAACCACTCCTCCACCACTGGCTATCACCTTGCCTAGGCAACCTTTTCCTTACATGATCAGCATCAAATCACACCATGACAGGGAGCAGGACTTCAAGTAAGAGCTGAGTGGGCTACAACTACATTCACTTTTTGACAGGCTGTAGATTGAGAACAATTCAGATCTTATGCATGTGTACACTAATAGATTACTGGACCTCTTAGAAGCTGTTTATGAACAAACAAGTATGTCTATTTCAACAGCTGGCAAATTACAGCAAAGAAAAGCTCCCTATAAGCTTCTTTTAGAAAAAGGTGAGATGCAAACTGAGCTTAGGTGTGCTTATCAATATCCAACAGTTCAATCACAGGCTATGGTTCCACACTGAGAAACCAAGCAAATTTGAATACCATTTCCATTAGTATTAATAACATGATCATATCAGCTATTCAACTTTAGATATTCCATCAGTCTTAGCTCATGGTAAGATGACATACCCATCATGTCTACTTTTCTTAGCAGACAAATCATCTCCTGCTGCAGGTCTCCTCTTTTTCCTTGGAGGCATCACTTTACTAAAGCAGTCTGATGAACTGCAAGACCGGAGACTTCCTACAGAGGGAATTAAAAACACCAGTACAAGAAATGAAACTCTTGTAGACCAGTTAAACTGTGTCCACTAATAGGCATATTACAAAGGGAAGGGAAGGGAGGAAGTTAATGGATTTAAAAATTACAAAATAAGTTGTCTCTTTTGAATAGCAAAATCAATCTCATGTTTACATGGTGTTCTATGACCAGATTTCAGTTAAGGCCAAAAGTACTACAGCAAGATGTACAGTAGTGATAGTGTTACTTGACTCAAACAAAAAACGATAACTGAGACGATCCTGAAAAAGTCCTCAAAAAGGCATCTTTGTTTTTAGTCGTTTATTCAAATAAGAACTTCTAAGAGTTGTTCATTACTTTTCAAAACACAAATGTGACTGAAAAACTAGGGCATCTACCTCTAGAAAATAGAATCTTTTTTATGTTTAAGCCCTAAGTTTTTAATGACACAAAGAGCAAGGGGCAGGAAAGGTTTTGTTTCTTCTTTGGTTTTGTTTTATTTATTTTTGGGAGTGGGGGAAGAGATGTTCAGCAACTGCTAGGGGAAAAAAAAAAGTGACTGGCTGTATCCCTTGAACTGGATAGTTCTCAAAGACTGAAGGTCCCCAAGTAGGAAACAGCCAATTCAAGACACTGATGCCAATTAAGTGGTAGTCTTTCCCTCCCCTTCTCTCAGCTACATACTCCTCTGCCTCTAGTGACTCTTCAGTGTGCAAATGCAGTTCACCAAACCCATAGATAACTGACCCAAGCAAAAAAGACTAACAACTTTCTGTATATTAGCACAAGAAAGAGCACAGGATCAGCCCTTCTGACCACAGCAAGCTGTTAAATTGCCTTTGCTGTCTCATGAAAACAATAAATTATCACTCCAGGCAAAATTCTGTCCTACTTTCACATACTGAAGACCACATGGACACCTGAGAAAAGTGTGTATAAGAGCAGCTCAAAGAGCTATGAAAGCTCTAAGTGTTACGCAGAGAATTTTAAAAGGATAGGAAGAGAGGTGAGGTATAAAAATCCAGACACAAAGCAATGCCAAAGAAACTTGCGAGAAAACATGAAGAACTCCAGCATGTCTACGCTATCTTCTCTTAGCTTCAATAGCACTCAAGTTTAACTATGCTTTCTTAAGATGCCCACAAAATCTTTGGTTTTAAATCACAGGAGAGAAGCAAGAAATAAAACTTCGACTACTTTTTGGCATCAAGTGAGTAGACTAAAATCAGAGGCCCAATTCCCAACAAATACTAAGAGCAATCTTTTGCTTACGTATTCTTTGTATCTTTGCAAGTCTCTCTCCTGTTATAGGAGAAACACACATAAGGAACCTTACAGCCTCACAGGCTTTGCTGCATCTGCTGTATTACAAACATACACTGAAACTATTATGCATACAGAAGTATTAATTTCTCTAGTATTAAGTAGATCAAGATGAACTGATTTCTTTCAACTAATAAGATTTTTGCACTTAGCATGCCTTCTTTGGTCTTACCTTCTTATTAATTTCTATTACAAAGAAAAAAATACCTCTAGTTCAAGAAATGTTCTTTCCAGCTTAAAAATTCTTCCTATATATTTTTATTTTTTTATTTTTTTTACCCTGAAGCTCTCTCATCCCAGCATCCTTCCAGGAAAGTATGGCCATATCTACACTATCTTTTAGAAAGAAAGTTTTAAGATTATTGTAAATTCAAATTATAAATTAACTAGTTATTTAAAAAGTTCCAAGCTTTTGCTCCATAAACTACTATCACATGAAAAAATCGTAATTTCTGTGTCAGAAGTATATGATTCTAGAAGCGCTGTCCAGAATACTTTAAAAAGGAAATTAGCAATAATAATATTTATCTTCTCACCAGTATAAGATACATTTGAAACAGGTAAGCTAGACACCATCAAAAACTCACAGTATGCCTGATGCATTTACTATCCAGATTAAAGAAACTAAGGAACCTGACCTGATGAATATAGTTTGTTCCATCTGATTATGCCTGTGAATTAATGATACTGCAAAACTGTATTCCCATGTTATTGAAAGTGTGATGCTTTATGGCTTTTTTTTCTAAAGACTCTGCCAGTAAGTATTTTTTTAAAACTAACACAAACTTACGATACTTAAGATGACATCAGAACCTAACAGATGGCTAGAGACAGCCAACAGACTCAGAAACACACAAAATTTAATAAAAGAAAACATGTGCTAATGAACACCCTGTTTTGGAAAACACATAAGCACTTAAGTCAACCTGTAGCCACCTCATTCCTTTGAGAGCAATTTGGTTTTAAATGCCTATTAAAAAAAAATATCTGTTTACAATGGTCACAGGCACTGGATGCTGCTAAAATGCAAGAAAAACTGACAACCCCACACACAGGGTTTGTGCAGTTTACTGATTGACTAGGAAAAGAAATATGCAAGGTAACTGTGAAAAGAGAAGCGTAGCAAAAGATGCAAGTAAAATAAATAAAAATAAGTAAAAATAAAACAGCTATATAAGAGGAAAATAATTTGTCAGATCTGCAACCCCATACAAACCAAATAATTTAACCCAAGAATTCCTGCTTGAAGTCTTCTCTTCATTACATTATAGGATATTTTTAGAAAGATCACAGAACTTGTTTTAAAGGCTTAAACTGGTAACAAAATTCACCATAACCAAATTTCTCCAATGACTCGTATGAAAAACTTGTAGCCTTTATTGGTTTGAATGTATCTAGTTGCAGCTCTCAAACTGACAGAAAAAGGAAAAAAAGAGATAGCTCAGAAACTGGTAAGTGGCTATTAAATACCCACATACACCCTCCTCACATACAAACACACACACAGAGACACCAGGTAGACAAACTACTGTACATGCCTTCAGAGATTTAACATCTTAGTAACTTAGATTTGACCAAGTTTTCACTGTGTCTTTCTTAACTCTCAGATGATCTCTGAACTACTAAGAAACACAAGAATGTTGCTTTAAAAATATTTCCTTTTGTTATAAGAATCATTTTATTGAATTTGAAGGGTGATTATAATTTTCCTGTAACAAACTGAAAGGTAAACCAGCACAGTACTTATCTCTTTTACTTCTATCTAAAACTAAAAACTACCAGATTGGGTTATTTTGTTTAAATTCTTGCAATTTCTTATTTTACCCTATAGCTCACTCAGTAGCTTGTTCACTTTTCCTACACAGAAGTTAATAATTTTAAATATAATTTCAGGGTCCAGCCTTTCACAACTAATTTGACTTCTCATAGGTCTGATCATCTGCAAGAGAACATGCAGCTCCCTCTGACTTCATGCAAAGTTTGACAGGAACTTTACTTACCAAGTGCAGCTTCTCTGATGTGATTATCTTCAAAGTTTCTTACTCCTGGGTCTCAACTCAAGATTGGCAGAACCCTCCTAGATCTCACTGGTTTTTTTGACACTTGAAGCTAGCATTTGCAAGGTAGTGCTTCCAAGTGGCTGCTGAATAGGCCACCACCAGCCAAAAGCCTGCCGAGTATAAATGTTGCTTGCCAAACTTGCTATTCAGTACTTCCAAATTTGCAGGAAACAAAGCTACCAAAGGGAAATATCAACTCAAGAGCTAAAATTCACCCTAAGAAATTTAAAACAATACACAAGATAATAACCACAAGGGAGGGACACTCCTAGAATAGGAACAAAACCAGAACAAACAAAAAAGAAAAAACAGAGGTCAATAAATAAGAACTCTACAAGCTCTGGCCTCACAGAAGTGATTTACAGACATGTAATTTTCACCTTCTCTCTAGATAATGCCTGTGAGCAATTCTGCTCTTCTGATGCTTAAGTAGAGAGATGTTTCAAAGGAAAAATAATTAGAAACTGTGAATGCTGAAGCAATTGGAAAAAAAATAGCTGCTTGCTTAATGATGCAACAAGACCACCAGAAGCACAGTTAACTATCATAATTTTTCACATACAAGATGAGAAAACTAAGATACTCATCAAAACATCAAACAACTTGCAATCTTCTTGTAAAAGGAAAAATAATCTTCTCTATCTTGAGTTCCACACTACAGAATTGCTTTTGACTCAGAAGGTTTTCTTCTCTTAAAAAAAACAAACAGTGGCAGCAAAAGTAATTTCCCCCCCCGCAAACTTCAAGAACAGCAATGAAGCCTTGTTTTTGTTGAAAACATTAATTTGTCCTTTTAAACAAACCAGGTGACAACAGCTAGTGTATTTTTAAAGACATTTTAGTCTGGATAGGTAAGTCCCAATTTAATAACCAAATCATAACTTTAAGTTATTAACAAGTTGGTAGATTTGTAGCCATGACATAAAAACAACTATTATTTCACATTTGAGAGTCTTCCAAGTTAATGCATATACATACTAGAAGAAAAAGAAACTATTTAGAGAATCTGAATTCCCTGCTTTTCTTGCCCCTACAAACAGCTGAAATGGCCAAGGCCCACAACACATTTACAGCCTGCTTTATTTTTAGATACATATGCACACTGAATGCTAACATATTTTATGAGACTGTAATCATCATAGGTGACTGGAATTTTGAAGCAAGGACCATCTCAGATCCCAAATCACTGAATTAATTTTGAAACTGCCACCCTCTAGTTCTTAGACATTTTAAGATTTAGTACCAGAAAAGTAATCTGACTAACACTTAGGAAAGGTGTGATTTGCTTAAAGTGATTTAGATGTCCAGAACATTTATTGTTAGCTCAGAAACAACTGCTTTGCAATAAATGTAAAATGCCTTAAAAGGCCATTGTAAATACTAACCAAAACCTGAAATACTCAGGTTTTTTACACAGCTTTTCGAAATCTCAACCAAATGTACATACATATTTATTAAATCATCCCAAACTCAGGGTCCACAATGTCGTAACATTAACCAGGGGATTTACATCAGAAAATCAACAGTAATCTTTAAGGATAAGGCTTGCTCCAAAAATTCAGAGTGTAAAAAAAACCCCAACAAACCCAAACAAAAACCACAACAAAAAACAACAAACTCCAAACAAACAAAAAAACAAACTATACACAACTAAAAAAATCATCCTTAGCTGGGTTTGGCAACGGTCACAGAATGTTTTGCTACAGAGAAATTAAAATTACTTTTAAATGAGTTCTAGACATAGAATCTCAAATTCACAGCATCTCTGAAGTTCTATAAATTGTGTCACAAAATTCAGGTCTTGACACTTCTTCCTATGCAATCAGTACCACTGAAACACTGGAAAACTGAAGTTCCATAAATTTAGGCAGACTGAAATAATTTCCAAAGTAAGTTTTCAGATTTACGTAAGGCTCTCCTGTAATGTGTCAGAAGAGTCAAGCCCCATACAAAACTCACATGGAAGACTCGACTGTACTATATTCACAAGGACCAAAACAGCTCTTTGCATATGTATTTGTTCTCATATAAGAAAAACCAAACACACATTTGGACTGAATTTGCCTGGAAGTTATGCAAGCATTGGGGCTTCATCTTCTTCTACAAGGAGACATAACACAGGGCAGAAGCATAAGAAATAATGAAATTGTCATATGAGGAGCCTGCTAGTATCAACCTCTACTTTTGGTTCTCATTTCATTCTTGCTTCTGGTTTGAAAGGTTCTTTAGAAGTAGTTTTAAAAAAGTACACTCTTTACTGGGATTTTGTATCCAAACTCATTCAATGGGCATTTTTAACCTTTTGAAAAAGCTTAATTCAAACAACACAATGCAGGCAATAAGGTAACCATCAGTGTTTTCATCAAGAACAGTAACATGCTCAAACATCTTCCATTAGAGATAATTAGAGCTCTGAGGGTAATTTCTTACACTGACCTTTATTTCAAAAGTGGTAGGTAAGAGATAAGACAAATTCTAAAACACTTTAAGCATGCCTACTCGTATTGATTAGTGACTAGACTACCTCAATGCTTCACAACAGCTTTTTGTAATCATAAATAATGATTATGAAATGTATTTTCATCCATGAAATCTTTATGTTTTAATGTTTAGTCTGAGCATCTGGATCAAACAGGAAAATTCCAAGTCTCCAACAGGAGATGAGTGAGGACATCAGTTCTAACATGGGGGCAATAAAACTTCTGACTGCCTTGAACTACCTGCCCCAATCCCTTTTGCAGAGGTATTCCATTTACATGATCAGCTAATTTTAAGTATCAAATCACTAATCACTTAACCATGGTAAGATAGGTCAACTATGAAACAAAGTCACCTGTCACATTATGGAAAAGCGTACGTAAGCACTAAGTGAGCTTTGTCCAGCTCCAAACAATGCACTCCTATGCATCTCTACTTGCTGCTCTAGGTTAAAAATGTGTTAGATTTACAAACATGTCTCAGAAATATCCAGGAAGAGCTGACAGCTCTTGCCATTTTCTTAAACACTCAAAGTAACATCAGAAAATATATCCTGCACCTCAGAATAGAGAATAACTTTGAGACAGGTGGTAGGACAGATATGGTCAGTTTTAAAGAACAGTTCTGCTGAGTGTTCAGGACTTAAAGCCAGTAAGTTATTTCCCTTCCTCCTTAGGTATCACGCCTGAAACACAGAAAGGAAGGAAGAAAAAGAAATCAAGGAAGACACTAGCTCATAAGTAACAAATGCAAATAGAGGTAACAAATGTTGCAAGATACCAAGTTACAAAGCATGAATGCCGATGAATCAAGAATGGCTGCAAGATAGTACCAGGCACCTGAGATGAAGGCCTCAAAAAACGATGAAATTTTATTGAACAGAAAACAGGCTTGGACTACTAAATTGCCCTAAACACTGACTGAAAATCCGCACAAGAAACAGCGACAACCTGCATCAAAACCACTCAAGAAAACAGCTAGGTTGTTTGGAGCGCAGCATTTAAACTCGGTCACAGGCATCACAATAACCACAAGAGGTCTTGCTTCTGCTCTGTTCTCACTAACGCTTTCAAGAGTCAAAACACTGCAAGAACATGGATATTCTGCTAGTCCAATGAGCTAAGTCCAAGGAGTGAGAGAATTTTTCTTTAACTCTTTTAAAGTACTTTACACTAAGAAATAGTAAAATGGTAGATACTGCTGAAACCTGTCAGAGTTCTTCACAACTTAATAAATTAAAAGCACAAATATCTACTTTGAAGAAAACTAAAAATTCCTGGCACTTGTTCTTTAAAGCTCCTTTAGTTTTCTAAAATATAATTTTCAATCATGTTAGAGAGTCTTCTTAGATGAAGCATGTTAAACTGTTTCAATCTATTTCTCCTACATTCCTATTAAAATACCTGTCTGGTGATCGTCTTGACCAACGTCCTCTGTCAGATTCTGCAAGAGAGTACAAATGACACAGTTAAACAAGATGGCAACCTTCATTGTTTGCTAATGTTTTTAACCTTTACTTTATATTAATATTCATCTTAATTACTTAAGGAGCATCTAGCTAAGTCTGCACAGCCTTTGTTTTTCAGTTCATTTTTATCTAAATAGTTACCCTTGCAAATGTATCTAAAAATTCAGGATAATCTTTAAATAACTTGAAAAATATTTATTTCTATTTATCAAAAGCATATCAAACTATGACTCAATAGTGGAAACAACTATCCATTGGGTCAGGAATTTTGCACTGTTGTATTGAACAATTCCATTAATAAATGCAGCATTAGAAAGACTGGATTTACAATTTGCCACTTTACTTAAGGATAAATACATGTGTTCTAAAGAAAATGGATTTAAAACCAAGGGAAATATTGGAAATGAGTCACCCCCTTTTTCAGGCAGTCTCTTTTCCACTAAATGTTCAGTGTACAAACAGAAGTCAGATCGGCATTTCAAGCTACAGTCACACTAAAACAAAAGTAAATGCACAGACAACAAGCAGGGACAGTCTTTTTACAGTTGTCAGGGGACAGCTTGCTCATTCAATACATTTTCCACAAGAACTGTTACCAACTGGACAACAATGACGATTACCATTACTTCAAAGAAAGCTGCTTTTACAGAGACAACACCTAAATCCAATGTTCCAGTGAACAATGCTCAAACTCAACCCTGACCTCTAAGAGTACAAGCTTTTTCACCTTTTACTAATACTGCTTATCTCTTGAAGGATTCAAAACCAAGAGCCCCTCAGACAAAAAGGCAGCCATCATTTTTTAAAGCATAATCACTTTATTATTTCAATCACAAAACATTCTGGACTGAAGGCCTAGTTATTCTGCTGAGAGAAAATGGCAAGTCATTACCAGCCTATTGAGGGTGTGGTAAATCTTGTGAATATTTGCCAGTGTTGATAGGTGAGAATTCAGTTGAAAATCTAGAGAGGGGGGGGAAAAAAAAAGAAGTTTTAAATTCACTGGTTTCCCGAGGTAGAAACAGAGATCTTCCTATGTTCTGGTCATTTAATAAAATCACATGACTATAAAGTAAACACCATCTCAACACCTTTTCAGCATCAACATTTTCAGTGATAAGTAGAATCAGTAAGAGAAATCTGCAAAAGATATCCCACATATGCATTTTTCTTAAGGCATGGATGACTCTCAGAAAAACAGAATTATAGCTAAATATAAAATTATATAAAAAAATGAAGTACAACATTTTTTCCTTTAAATGGGGAATCACTTTAATTTCCATACTACCTAGTCCTTCAGTGCCACCTGTTCCAAAATTAAGTACCATGTAACATTCTAAATTAATATATATGCTAGTTTAAAAAAAATTAATACATGCATACATGGCATACATGCCAATATATTGGCATACATGCCAACAAAACCCAAAATAAAATATTCTGATATTTCATGAAAGGAGCCATAACATAGATGTTAACTTTACTTTCATGCTCCAAAAATAAAATACTTGATATTGCTTCAGTTGAAAAAAAAAAAGGTGGCAAACTAATTTTTCTCTGGTCTTTTAAATCCCCTATTTTTGCTAGAAATGTGTCAAAGACAAAACTGGAAAGTAATTTACAAAAAAGATCAACTGTGATCCAGCCAGAGAACATGCAAACCAGTAAGAATCACAGAAGCTGAACGCAGACCAACTGACAGGGATCAAAGACAGCCAACTACTATACAGTATTCCCATTTAAACTAGAATTTGTGCACAAAACCACACTAATTAGAGGCATGTACTATATGACATGTGAAGCATTTCACGCAAAATTCTTCCATATATGAAAACCTGTATGTGCCTAGTGTCACCACTCAGTTAATGCATTAAAGCATTTCTACTGTGAGACATTTGGTTTTGCCCAGTAGCTGATACAACATGCAAGATGCATTTCAAACAAATGCTCTCAAAATACACTTAAGATGACCCAGAATCTAACAATAAACAAAAGCCATAATTAAATACCAGATCCTCAAGTCAGTGAAACACACTATGAAGTTTAAAAGTGGACCTGAAGGAACTGCCCACTGTAAGTGTAAAGTGATCTTGTTACACACGTTTATAGAATTCTCGTCACAGTGAATTAAAAAACAATTTCATAAGACACCTTTCATTTAAGACACATTTCATTGATTATGGTAGCTAGAGGGTATCGTGCACTAATTGCTACCTATTTCTTAATGTGTTGTCCCCAATCCATAGAAATACAATTTATGTAAATCAGAAGTGCCAAAGATGGAATTTCTAACTTTAGATATACTTATCAATATGAAGTCAAAGACAATCTAGATCTTCTTACCAAGATCAGATAGGAAGATTTTGCCTCTCCAACAAGGTGCTAGATTTTTTCCTGCATAAAGTGCTCAATAAAGTTCCATTTTGGCTAGTGAAACAATACTAAGCAGAACCATTCTGCAAAAAAACAACCACAAGTTTCTTAGCCAATCTTCAGTTCAAGGCAAGACTAAAGGTAAGATTTATTTTGTTAACTGTCTGACCAGACCAAGCTTTCTGGAATATGAATTTTTACAATTCCCTTGTTGCTTAGCCAAAAATCTATAAAGAACATGAGTCTTCAGACAAATGACCTGGAGGTAACAAGCTGAGCCAATATTTTATTCTAAAATAGTATTAAACAATAATTTAAGATGGTACTTTTAAAAATAGTGGAAAAAAATATTTTAAAATTAGGATCATATATATTAGGTATCACCTTTGAAATGAAAAATTCCTAGGCACTTCAAAAGACATAATTCATACCAATATGTTTCACATATGCAGTGGAAATATCCTTACAATTTTAAGCTGTTACTTCAAAAATAGGTTAGGTAATTTTGGGGTGACATCAATGTATTTTACAGCTCTTATACAACAAGCATGACACCTTAGTTTCACAAAGACTGGTTTATCCATATAAATACAGACAACCAGAGCCCAATTTTTTCTCATTTTCACAGGGGAAGTTTGCAAAGTAGGAATATTATCCAAAATAGAACGCAGGCTTCTTTTACATTAACTGTTATAAAAGCAAATACGAACAGCAGCCAATGCATTAGAGAAGTTAAACTGCAGCACAGGTCACCTTCAGATCTGGTCGTAATGTTTGCTGTATCTATATTGCAAAGAAGATACACACAGTATCCCATGCTTTTGAAAATGCATATTTTGAAATAAAAAAATAATTGAGAAACATAATTTAAAAAATACTATCTCCCATGCTCAAATAATACCATCTTGAAAATGAGTAAAGGGACAATGGTGTAGTCAGCATGACAAGAAAGTGATTCAACAGCTGGCTGCAACTGTATGCTTCAGAAACATGAACTCTTCCCTCCACCTCCTGAACTTTCACACTTGTTTATGCAGCCTCCAAGCTGTGCCTGCCTGACCCCCTTGTCAGCCCCCAGAAATTTTATTTGCAAAAAAAACCCCAACAAACCAACCCTGCCACCTCAGTGGTCTGAATCAGATCACCAAGGAGATGTGACACCAGATAAGCATTTAGAGCAAGAAACAGGAAAGGATCCGAGTGGGAGCAAAACAGCCTCTTGTGGTAGGAGCAATGTGTTAAATCCATCAACTGTCCATCCAAGCCCCACTATGAGAAGAGCAACACATCACATGAAGCTACAAATTCAACAGCTGGCTGTACATGAAGAAAGCCATTGTATATGAAGCAATTTTTCATCTGAATACAAGAGTTTCAAAGCACACAAACTGGTCTGAAAATACTTTAGGTTTTTTCCCTGCAAAAAGAAATATTTTATAGCAAGTATCATTAGTGACCTGAGATCAGAAGAAAGAAACCTGCTTGCTTTGTGAATATTGACAAGAGGTGTGCTGGAATGCTTTCCAAGGCTTAAGAGGTGTATGTCAAACAAGGGTATGTATTTTGTTCATTTAATTATTTTTCATGCAGATGTTATCTTATCTTTAGCAAGGACTGAAGCAATGTTAATTCCAAATGATAATAAATGCTTCACAATAATTCAGAATGTAACAGTTAACGAAATAAAACAGCAACAAAACAGCAAAATAATTGTCAAGTCAAAGTCCAGAAAGGAAAGAAATGCCAGATTTTATCATTAACAATTTTAAGTGTTAAAATCTGGGTTAGTCAATTAGTCATCTTCATAAACACTTCAAAAGTAAAAAGCAAACATTTAAAAAATAACTTTGAAAATACTATAGATTAAGGTTTACGCCATGGATCAGCTATGGAGAGGGAGAAGAAACAAAAGCTAGCTGGCATTGCTTCCATAACAAACTAGACAAAAGTTTTTCTACACCCTTTTTAAGAAAAACATAAGAATAAAAAAAAAATTAAAATACAATATATCTTAAATGTAACCAAATCATACAGGTGAACTGAACTTGTATACTCTACCTTCCTATACGAAATGAAAAAACTTAAAGGTCAAGTTCAATTTTTTACCTGAGGGAAAAAAGTGTTGCCAAACTATTCAAATGAAACCACAAATTAACACCTAAAATAATCAACAAATATTTCTGCCTTTGCATCTACTCACATTCAGATACGTACCTGCCTGAACAAAAACATTAACTCAGCTCCTGGTGTCAAAATTATTACTTTAAAGTTTGAACAAAACACAGCTACAGTGTGGACTAAAATCTACTGAGACCTAGTAAAAAATTAACAATAGTACTAAACCAGATCAGCAGCTGACTCCAAGTTTCCTTTAAAAGCTTCTAGATTATTTTCCTAAGCAAATGGAAAATCTATACAAAACCACACAGTACCAGCAGGTCTAAAAATATTTACCCTAGACAGACATACCTTATAATTGCTATACATAAAATTCTGAATTAAAAATTAAGCAAGGAAATAGTCACAGTAGTAATTTTTATTACTGTGAAGATATATCTGACTCAGTACAAGTACCGAAGGTAATTTTTTGTAACATTCTCAGAAAAAAATAGATAGAAAACACATACTAGGCAGACTCATTCTTGAAGACTAAAATGGAATGTTTATGCATTTCCTTTTATTTAATTGATTTCCTGGGTTTAAAATAACAGAACTGAATAAAACTTGTAGTAGTATTGGAAACAATAGTTCAATGTACTGTCTTCTTCACTAGTTTTAAGTAAACTTTACTTACCAAAAAAGAATAATTTTATCTTCTATGTACTACACCCTTACATGCTCTACAGTCTACTTACAGAACTATCCTAACAGTAAGACAATTTATATTGATTAATTAACTCAGAAGTTAAGATCTCTAACCTACATTTGGTGAAAGCTTTTACTTATGTTCAGAAAGCAGAATTCTATATTCACTACTAAATGCAGAAACCAAAAGAAACACACGCATCGGTTTGATTTTCATTTACACAAAAACTTCACAACACACCTAAAAACTAAGATTCCCAACGTGCAGCACAGAACAGCTAGGAGCTGACTCTACATTTCTGTCAAAGACAGGATTAAGAATTAATTTCCAATGTCTGTAGCTGCATTGACACATGCAGTGACACCCATGAGCAGAAGCAGACTGAAGAAGAGACCTCTCTCCCAGTCCATGATGCCAGGGCAATCATGAGGGGAGGGGAGGGGAGGCAGAGAACAGGATTGAAAAGGAGAGTCTCCCTTGATTTGGTGGAGTTGAACACAGGGCATCATTCAGAAAGTAAGGAAAACAGAAATTTATTCCAGCCTGAACAGTAAGGACATGCAACTGAATGGAAAGTGAAGTGGGATGATCCATCTTAGCTTGAGGAGCAACAGGACATAGCTATTAGAGCTAAAGACATGGTGCTGCAGGACATTTCTCCTGCACACATACACAAAGAGCCTCACAAAGCTCAGAGCTACCTAGTGCTGACATCAGCAGTATTCAAACCCACAGTTGCCAATTTGAGTACATGTTCCAAACACAACAGGCTAAAATGTGAAGCAAACCAGAGTGACTTCTGCTATTTTAAAAACAAATCAAAACAACAAAACACCACAGGCACACAAAAAAAAACCACACACAAAAAA